AGAGAGAGAGAGAGAGAGAGAGAGAGAGAGAGAGAGAGAGAGAGAGATTGTATTTCAACCCTCCCGCAGATGGAGATGGATGGGATGTCATTTCCATTCACAAAACTACTGAATCCATAAGCAGACTGACATCTCCAGAGCTGTCCCTCCACCACCACACTCCCTGTAAGGTTACAGAGGCCAACCCCTGGGGGGAAGATAGAAGAGAGCCTGAAGCTGGGGTTGAAAGAAATAGAGCAATGTCTTCATGCCCAGAACCCACAGCCTTAGGATTTCAGGACAGGAGCCTACTCCCTTGCTACCCTGGAAACCAGATACAAAGTGAGCTCAGCTGAATAGCCTCGGCACAATGGAACTTTGGGTGAAAATGTGACCAATAATCAAGGTAACAAATTAACACAGTTAGAGAGACTCAGCCCAGGTGTGAGAGGCAGCACGTGACTACCTTAAACCGCTACTGTCAATTTGTTAATTAATTTACAAAAAAAATCGCTATGACCAGAGTGAGCCAAGAGAGTTTCAGCAATAACACAGTTCTTCCTGGAAGACTCCTCTTTCTCACAGAAAAAATCAAAATAAAACTAAAACTCTAAAAATGTTATTAATGAGACAAACAATTATTGAATAGATTGGAAACACACCCAACATGTTTAAAAACGTCAGGAAATGACTAACTGGAGAAATTTAGCTAAAACCACTCATTGGCAAACCCTAGTCAGACTATTGAAAGACAAAGAAAACTACCAAAGTGACCTCAGAAAGAGAGGAGGGAAAGAAGGTTGGTTGGCAAAACGGCTCTTGACCCTTGTCTCCAAGCTTGACAACCTGAATTCAATCCCTAGGACCTATAGGGTAGGGAAATAACTAACTATCCAAAGTTGACCTCTGACCACCACATGCATGGTATTATTTATGATAAATAAATAAGTGCCCTGAAAGGGCATGGAGAATGACGGCAGACTTCATAGGCAACAATGGCAGTAAGAAGACGATGGAGGGTGGTTTTTGAATGCTGGGATATATGGTCAACTGCCAATTCTGTATCAAGCAAAGAAACATTTTTAAAATTTTCTAACACGTATAAGTGTTTTGCTTGCATATTGTATGTGCACCATTTGCATGGTTGGTGCATGCATCAGATCCCCTGGAACTGGAATTACAGATAATAGTAAGTTAGCAAAGATACACTTTTAATTAAAAACAAAACAAAGATATGTCAGACAAAGAAAAGTAGAGACAATAAGTATGTGTGGGAGCAGGGCAGTGACTTCCCAATATAGAGTCAGCGACAAAGCAGACTCTCCTTCAAGAGCCCATAAAAATCTCCTTCCCACGCACTCTACAGAGGTTATGGTGGGTGTCTTGGACCATCAGTTGTGTTCTCCTATAAGCAGGGGTCACTACTAACAAAGGAGCGACTTCTCTAAAGAGTCTCTCCAGACTGGAATCCAGAGGGCAGACTTCATGAGCTGGACTGGAGTCCTAGATCCCTTCCTACCCCAACACACATACCCATCTCCCCTGCCATATAAAACAGCCTTGCCATGTTCGTGGCCTTGAGCACATGATGGTATCGGCCCTGCTGGGCTTCCGTGCTCAGTGCTGAGTCATCACCTACCATTTCACAGGCTTCAGATACATGAGTTGAAGAACTGTTGCCATCAGACTTTTGAATAGGTGATTGATTACTGGGTGAACTCCTCCCACCCCCAAAATGTGTATAGCTGGAATCAGGCCAAGGGAAGCAGTGCCCATGACCAGCCCAGGTTAACAGGCAGTCAGCCCTGTCCATGGTGACTTCAAGGTCAACAGCAGGTCATGGGTTTCAGCTGTTATTTGACCTTCAATTTCTTTCTTGGTTGGGCAAAAGGGAAAGTTGAGCCGGGACCCTACTTATGTCCTTATGATGACTAGAAGCTGTCCCTTCTGCCTGTAGCCAGGACCCCAAGACTTTCTTATGGAGTCCTGAGACTAGTCATGGCCAGTTCATACCATTAGCACTCCAACTCAATGCATACCCCGTGTTTCCTGCCAGGAACCACTGTCTGTCACATAACTTTGTTCCACAGCCAAGATTCCCACCAGGCACTGATCCCTGCCAGTGTGAACTGGAATCAGCACGCTGTCTGGCAAGAAACTTGCCTCACACTCCCCAAAGAGCAGAGCCCGGCTCCTACCACCAATTTCGCACATCCAGTCATGGTCTCTCCACTCCGGCCATTTATGAGGACTGTTGTTGCTGTTGATGTTTTTCCTTAGAGAAAATGGATTTGTGTTTAGTTGCTGCTTGAAAGGGTAGGGGCAGGACATCTCAGGGAAGAAGGATGGAAGCAAAGGAACACACAGGGGCCTGACTGTTTCCTTTTGAAGAGCCTACCATAAAGTAACCAGAAGACAGAGTTATGTGCCCCCCAATACAGGCAGCCACCCAGAACAAAGAACACTCCATTAGATGAGCAGCCAGATATGGAGGGATTACGGCAACTGCAGCTGAGAATAGAGGGCGGGGTGAGGGTGGGTGGTGGAGCCCAGACCCCAGCAGGCATTTATCCTAGGGAGCAGCAAACTCTCTCGCAGGGAACCCTGGAACCCTCAA